TTGGTGTAAGCTGATGTAGCTCCATTGACTTCAGTGGAACTATGCCAATTTTTACCAGGCCATGGTCTGGTCTTTAATTTAGAGGGGGGTTTATGTAATCTATATGAGGTCTTACACACAAAACTGAGCCGCCTCCTAGATTTAAGATCAAGTACATCTCTGGAATATCTTTACCTTTGAAATCCAAAGTACTATAGTTGTCCTTGACATTGATTGCCACGTAGATGGGCAGTGGGTTCTGACCCTGATCCACTGCCTGTCGCTGATCCGAGAGTTTATGGTTGTCTTTCTGTTTTTACAAGAAAAGTAACTAAATTAAGAGGGGTGGGGGAAAGGAACTGACATAGGAATCTACTCACTATATCTGTACTTGGAATACAGAAAAATGCCTGCATTTCAGCCATGTATATGACTGATTTGTGTGCAGGGGTTAATATGTCTGGGATCTTCCATACTCTCCAAAATTCCCATGAACAGCTGACAACCATGGAGGCTGCAAGTTCTTGATAACTATATGGTACATGATTTGATGGCACTTTCAGACCAACATGATAGGAGTGGCTAAAAAGGAGAAAGAGATGCCTACAGTGTAGAGGCTCTGGAGTGGTCTAAGTTAAAAATGTGTCTCATAACCAGCTGACATCCCAGTTTAATGTACAATACTGCAGCTATACACAGGATTGGGCATGCATGTATCAGGAGTACTGCAATTGCATGTGCTGTGAAAAATGAATGGATAATAGCCTACTGTTTGCTGTTCTAAAACACTTATAATTTCATTATTTCTAAAGAAAACATCTTCAAAATATACCTACAGCACTTAACTATTACGTTTTCAAAATGTGATTTTTCCAACAAAAAGCATCCAAAAACCTATTAGTGAAAATGGTCATTTTTCCTCCTTCCCTCCCCCGCTGCATTCAAACAAGCATGAAAAAATATTGTCCCAAATGGGTCAGTTTCAGAAAGTTATAAGCCTCTGAAAAATGAGTGGCTTTTAAGGGAAGTGTTTCCTCAGCCATAAAGATAAGATTATTAGTGCAATATTAATCACCATAATGATTTAATAAAACCATGCTTTGACATACTGTACCCCATCATGTAACAAATATTCAACAATGAGCCCCCACAGATCTATAGAAGATGTCCTGTGTCCTTCTTGTTTCCGCTGACACAGCTGCTTGTTATAATACTTCATACGCTCCATGGAAAAAGAACCCATCTTGCATTTGGTCACATGTTTTCGAGCTTCATTGATTTTCCCAGACAGATCCTGCTGTGACCAATCAGCATCTCTGTACAAATTTGCCATAGTCCTGGGAAATATATTGAAGGGAAAAAAACAAACTGAGGCTTTTATTAGAGAAGGTGCTAAACTTAACATTTTCAATTTGAAGGGTTAATGTAAACTTCACAAAAGGTTTCATGTCCTAAATCTATGCTGCCTTTGAGTTCTAGGTTCCCCAAAAAACATTAAATTTTTTTAAAATCACAAACATTACATTTCCCCTGCCCGGTAAATTTAAAATCACTGGCCAATTTCCCTAAAATATTTTTTTAAACATATACTTCTGTGCTGACACTAACTATAAGAATTTCCCACTCCAAAAAGAGATTTTTCTGGCAAAGTTATAAATGGATCAAAAATAGGGCTTGGGTCACAATGCTGGCTATGGGGGAGCTGCTACTGGCAGCTCCATAATATTTCTTTAGCATAGATCATTGTATCAGCAGCATAGAGAAACTCTGCTCATGTCTTCCTTACCATGTCGTGCCAGACAAGCCAGTCAGGTACATAGCACAGTCTATGACATTTAACTTCTTGAGACCCAATAGACTGCCATATGTCGTTGTCAGTGATCTCATTCCACCACCTGTTGTCATGATTGCCACCACAGGAATCTGTTCAATACAAAGACAGCAAGTTACTGCAAAGCAAATGACATATGAACATTTAGATGGACCTGAAATGGAACACTAGATCCAATCCAGTTCCAAAGCACAACTGTAGTCTCTCTTCTGACAAGGTCAAAACTGAAACACTTACACACACACTCCTGAACACTCGAGAAGTTTAGAATCTGATTTGGACCCAACCTTAGTAGCTCAGGCCCTCTCTATTTGGAATAGACAAGGGAAGGACTTATTATAAGTTCAGTTGCTTTTGTTCCTCCTAAAGAGTTTTTGTGGCCAAGATAGGTTGAAGGATGAGCTCTCCCTAGAACAGTGGTGGGCAACCTGCGGCCTGCTGGCTGCATGCGGTCCGTCAAGGTAATCCACTGGCGGGCCGCAAGACAGTTTGTTTACATTGACCGTCCGCAGGCATGGCCGCCCGCAGCTCCCAGTGGCTGCAGTTTGCTGTTCTCGGCCACTGGGAGCTGCGGGAAGCGGCGCAGGCCGCAAGGACGTGCTGGCCGCCGTTTCCCGCAGCTCCCATTGGCCAGGAACTGCGAACCGCGGTCACTGGGAGCTGCGGGCGGCTGTGCCTGTGGACGGTCAGTGTAAACAAGCTGTCTTGCAGCCTGCCAGAGGATTACCCTGATGGGCCGCATGCGGCCCACGGGCTGCCGGTTGCCCACCACTGCCCTAGAAAATGCCTCATATGGCTGGCTCAATACATAGCTTCTAACAATCAAACTCCTACCACTTGCCTTCTCATGGCAGAGCTGTTTTTAACTGGAAATGGGGGTGTGAAGGATGGGGGTCTGGTGCATTATAAGCGGCTTGCCCCAGGCAGATGGGGCTCATTAGCCATGCAGGCAGTCCACCTAGGAGAAGGAAAAACTCCAATTTCAAACCAAGAATGTCAAGCGTGGCTAGCCAGTTTGTAACAGTTGTCATTTGCACATGTTCCACAGGTCTTCATCTTCAATGAGTATATCAGTACAAAGGGTAAGCTGGTCACCCTACTTCTGGGGGACACAGGTCCCATTTTTAAAGGGACAGTCCCATATTCCTGCAGGTGTCCCAACTTTTTCTTAAAAATGGGCAAATTGTCCCATATTTTCTGTCTCCCCCACATCAGTGCTGGTGGGTCCTGCTGCTGGACGGATCCCTGCTTGCCAGCCACCTGCCTACCAGCAGTGAGTTGGGGGTGGGGGTCCAGTGGCCGATGATGGAGGTGGGTGTGCAAGGCTGGTGACGGGGCAAAGATGCAGTGCGCGGGGCCAGCCGCTCCCCCCGCTAGTCTGTCAGTGCAGCCACCGCTGCGCGTGGGCTCTCGGCCAGCTGGGCTCCGCCCCACCCCATCCCATTTCCGGTCGGTGCTGGCTGTACGCTGCGAGCTGCGGTGGCTGGTGAGAGCGGGCAGGGGCAGGCACCAGGCAGCAGCCAGTTACGTGTTGCCTCTGCTGCCCACCAATCGGCCCTTTACGTGCTCCCCCTCTTGCTGTCCTCTCCCTGCTTTGCCCCTTTCTCCCCCCCCCCCCCCCCCCCTGCTCCTCCATATCCCCCCCGGTGGGGCACGTCCTGCTCCCAGTGCTGTGCGTAGAACCAGCCCCTGGTCAGAACGCTCAGCTCACCAACAGCCTGGCTGGCAGGCTCCTTTCTTCCCCCACTGTCTCTGGCTAGGCCGATGCCCCGGGAAAGCCCAAGCCCCTAAGGCCCAGGGCACTGCCCAGGAGGAGCCAAGCCCTGCATGTGCCAATGCCTCATGCAGCGCTGGCACAGGGAATCCTCTCCGCCCCTCAGCCAAGCTCTGGAGTGTGTGTGGGGGTGAAGCAATTTCCAGCCTGTTCCCACCCTGAACCTACAGGCTCCACAGCAGCCCGGGGAGCAGGGACTTAGCACTCTCGTCACCCGCCCCTCCCCCACCCTAGGTCCTGCCCTCAGGGAGCGCAGGGCTGCTCCAGCCCCTAGGCACCCTCCCCTGCTGAGCCACCTCTCTGACTTGGTTACATGAAGCCCCTGCAGTCAGGTTCCCTGGGCCCTGGTGCACAATGCATCCTTAGGGCTTAATCCCTTCCAGCCCGTGCTGTAGCCGGAGGTGTCTGGATTATGTCAGTGGCCAGCAGCAGTCTGGAGGTGTTACCTGTCTTTTGACACTGTGCGAGCAGGAAAGGACAAGGGGAGAGAAGAGTTGAACTCTGCAAAGACATTTGCCAGGTCATCCGTTCCCCCCGCTCCTCCTTCGCTGTGTCTGGAAGCAGCTCTCGTCCATTCCCTCCCACACAGTGCCGAAAGGCTGTGGCTGGCCACATTCTGGTGTGAACCCTGGCAGAAATCTGGGGTGGGGTGGCATGTCACCCTGCAGTTCCCATGCCAGGAGAGGCAGGTCCATCCCAGGGGCCCAGCCAGGCATGGAGGGCAGAGAGCGCCGGTCAGGGAGGGTCAGGTAGGTCGGTCACTCCCTCACTCCCCCTATGTGAGAGAGGTGTACGGGAGTGTGTGGGAGGGAGTGTCACCCCTCCCCATATGAACCATAAAGCCTTAATGATAAGAAGGTAAATAAAAAGAATCCAACTACACAGTAATTCTTTTCAACAGGGGCTCAGTCAACTTGATGTTAATTTGAATGTTTGTACTGCATAGTTCTGATTGATTGCCATTGAACTCACTTGAATATGAGTAATTTTACCAGGTGTCCTGTATTCACCATAGGGAAACATGGTCACCATACCCAGAAGTGACACACAACCTCTTTGTCTGACGACTGTGGGAAATGGTCAAGTTACCACATTGTGGCACATATGGTTAAAAATGGCAAGCCTAAGAGTAACGTCTGGTTTCCCTGAATGTGGGAACAATGAAATGGAAACAAAAAGTAGTAGTCGAGATGATGAAGGGAAGGAGAGTGCCCATTGCCTGAATACAAGAGACAAAATGGAAGGGATTGAAATCCATGTACATCAAGGAGGCTCCAAGATGATGCTCAGCAGCAAAGAGGAATAGAGTAGGAATAATAGTAGCAGAAATATTACAGGATATGATAGTGGACATCCAAAGAAAGAGTGACCAGCTGATGAAAGTTAGAACAGCACTGACCGGAAACCAAAACCTTTATGTTATATGCTGATATGTGCCACACGTTGGCTGTATGAGAGAGGAGAAGGTAGAGTTCTACATAGCACAAAGAGGAAGAAGCACTTAATTATATACAGGAGCAGTACCAACAGGTCCCAGACTGATTACTTCCTGACAAGGAGAAGAGATCTAAAAAAATGTGAGACCGTAAAGTGATCCCAGGAGAGCAGATTGCAGAGCAGCATAGGCTGCGTGTAACAGACGTCTGGGTGAAAAAGGCAATGCAGGGGGAGGGGGCGCTAAACGATGAGCTGTGGAACAAAGGATACAGTGGTGGAGGCCTGCAGATAGGGAAGTTAGTCTGAGATTTAAGGATGAGGTTCTATAGAGGTCAGACAATGACCAAACCAGCCACGATGATACCAATGAGGTTTGGAGAAAAATATCCACAGGTAATACAGAAAGCTCACAAGCGGTGTGTGGACAAATGAAAGAAGGTACGGTAGTGGTCTAATGATGTGCAGGAAACAGAAAAGAAAAAAGGAGGGAAGGCTTAAGTGATGGCAGAAATAAGAACAGTGGGATTTATGCTGCCTTGTTTGTGGCCGATAGGGGAACCCAGACCTGCCCACTACTCCAGTGGCAGGAGTAAGGCCCTGCAGTGAACACTGCTCAGTACTCCTGGCACCCCTAATGAGCCAGCTAAGCTGCCTGATAGACTGCCATGCCTGATTGGCTGAGGAAGCTCAGCATTAATAGCTTGCTGGCTGCTCAAGTACATGCCAACAGACCCTCTCCCTCCCTGTGCCCATCTCTTGCCAAGCCCTGCTCCTGCTCTGGTCCTCCACTGCTCCAGCCCAGATCCTGCCCTGCACCCAGCCTTGTTCCTATCCTGTCCCAGCCTTGCTCCTGCCTTCTCTGACTCCTGGTAATCTGGTTCCAACCCTCGGTTCTGATTCCCAACACTGACTTTGTCTTGACCCTTGGCTCTGGCATTCAGACTCCAACTCCAGTTCTGACCTTTGGCCCTGCTTCCTGGTTCTGGACCTGTCTCAGCCCCTGGGTACTGCCTTCAGACTCCAACCATTAGGCCTGACTGCTTACAACCCAGTCTCCTGACATCCAGGTTCCAACCTAGGGTCCCTAAAAACAGCAGCTCTGCACTGCTCAATCTCAATTCATTGCTGATTCTTCCCTAGGCCTCTTCCTACCTAGCCCCTTTTTGCTTCACCCTTACTTCAGGGTTAAGTTCTTGGGACCTCTCTCTCCCTGCAAACCCAGCTAAGCAAAATGCAGCCAGAACAAACTCGCTATCCCTCAGGCTCCTGTGGCCAGAGAGGACCCTTCCTTGCCCCTCTGGTCCCAGCCAGGAACTAAGCTGCTAAGGCCCTGCAGCTCCTTTTATCTGAGCCTGCTGGGCTGTGATTGGCTGCGTCTATGAAGCCTCTTTAGGCAGGCTTGGAGGACCGACCTTTGCCCCTGCTTTCCTGGGGCAAGGTGCAGTAGGACTGTGGGGCCTCCATCTGGGGGCCTGGTGTACCCCATCACACTTACCCCTCAAGTTAATGAGTCACGTGATGAAATGGCTGGAAAAAATTAGTGAGAAAAGACACTTTCAGGAACTGGAGCATCAATAAGTGACAACCAAGTCAGGTTTATGCCAGAAGGGTCAATGCTGGGTGCAATGTTTGCAGCCCACACATTGCAGGAGAAGTAGAGGGAGAAATACAAGGAATTTCATTTAGTTTGTGGACTTAGAGAAGGCTTCTTACGGAGTTCACAGAGACCTGATATGGTGGTGTCTGCATTTGCACAATCTGCTGGAGACATGTGCTACCCTTGCAAATGTCCATGATAGTCTGAACATAACAGTAGCAAGAAGCAGTTGTGACTACAGTGAGCCATTCACTGTGAAGGTAGGTCTACATCAAGGATCAGTC